TGAAGCTGCTCGCCAGGAAAACCCACCGACTCATCCGGCGGCTCTTCAACCTCAGCAAACGCTGCCGCCGGCAACCTCGCTTCAAACTGCCGAAGGAGAGGTAGGGTGCCATGGCGTCCCTGTCCCACGGCAGGGACACTGCTCAGAGCCCTGAGGGGGGCTCAGACCCACAGCCCACCTCTCTATGGCTGGGACTGGAGGATCTCCCGCCCCACTGGAGGGATGCCCAGGGGTAAACAGGGAGCAGGGGCAGCTGTGCTGCTCTGGGATGTGGCCCTGAGAGGGTGGGTCCAAGCCTGGAGGTGGAAAATGGGGTTGGGTTCATGGGGGGCCACCAGCGGTACAGAAGAATGAACACAAGGTGGGCAGCTCTTCCATCATGAGGGAAAGTTGGGGACACCTCAAAAAATGCCATGTAAGCATCTCTCATGTCTCTTCTCCACCAGGTCCCTCCCTTACTGGTGGAGCCGCGCGCAGTCGCTCCTGTACTGCAGTGAGACCACCGTGCCTGGGACCTTCCTGGAAGAAAGCCACAGCTGCACATGTCCCCCCGACCAGCCCTCCTGCCAGGGCTCCATCCCATGTGCCTTGGGCGAGGGGCCAGCCTGCGCCAGCTGCGCCGAGGACAACAGCACCCGCTGTGGGACCTGCAACCACGGCTACGTGCTGACCCAGGGCTTCTGCCGCCCGGAGGTGGCCGACTCGCTGGAGCATTACCTGGGGCTGGAGACCGACCTGCAGGACTTGGAGCTCAAGTACCTCCTGCAGAAACGGGACAGCCGCATCGAGGTGCACTCCATCTTCATCAGCAACGACATGCGCCTGGGGAGCTGGTTCGACCCCTCCTGGAGGAAACGCATGCTCTTGACCCTGAAGAGCAACAAGTACAAGCCAGGGCTGGTTCACGTGATGTTGGCTCTCTCCTTGCAGATCTGCCTCACCAAGAATAGCACGCTGGAGCCTGTCATGGCCATCTACGTCAACCCCTTTGGGGGAAGCCACTCGGAGAGCTGGTTCATGCCCGTCAATGAGGGCAGCTTCCCAGACTGGGAAAGGACTACCGTAGATGCCTCTGCCCAGTGCCAAAACTGGACACTCACCTTGGGCAACAAGTGGAAGACCTTCTTCGAAACAGTCCATGTCTACTTGCGGAGCCGCATCAAGTCTTTGGATGACAGCTCCAATGAGACAATCTACTATGAACCTTTGGAGATGGCAGATCCCTCCAAGAACCTGGGGTACATGAAAATCAACAGCTTGCAAGTCTTTGGCTACAGCCTGCCCTTTGAGCCAGATGCTATTCGTGACCTGATCCTTCAGCTGGACTATCCCTACACCCAGGGCTCCCAGGACTCGGCCATGCTCCAGCTGTTGGAGATCAGGGACCGGGTGAACAGGTTGTCACCCCCTGGCAAAACCCGCCTCGACCTCTTCACTTGTTTGCTCCGCCACAGGCTCAAGTTGGCCAACAACGAGGTGGCGAGGATCCAGTCCTCCTTGAGGGCCTTCAATGCCAAGCTGCCCAACGCGGTCGAGCAGGAGACAGGCAAGCTCTGCAGCTAACGGCCGGGGCTTCTTGGATGCCAGAGTGAGGGGAAGGGAGAAAAGACTCCCCAAAGGGGCTGGGGGGGGCAGAAATAACTGCCCTAAAAAATTAAATCAAGGCCTTACCTTAGTGCCAACTGCGTGCTTCCATGGTACACCCAGCAACTGGCCAAAGAGACACAGGGCTTGAGCGGACAGAGGACACCGGCGGGACTATGGAGGAGGGATGCTCACGCAGTGCAGACCGGCTTCGAGTGCGGGGACAATGCCAGTGTCCTGTTGGTGGCTGGGGGGATGCGCCAGTGGCCAGGGGGAATGCCATGAGGATCCTCTGGCAGTGGCCTCCTCGGCACCCCAACTTTTGTAGTCTTTCTAAGAGAGGTTTCTACCAGCGCCTTTGCTTTTGCATCCCTCTCAATCCTTCCTGTAGCTGTGCCCTCGCATGTGGTGCCGGGGAGGGGACCACACCGCAGGTCCCCTGGGACCTCTCCACGAGCATCTCACACCTGCTGCGGTACCGAGGCATCGTCACCCCTTGTGTAGGAAGGACCTGGTGCCTGCCCCATGCACACTGCCATCACAGACACTGGTGGAGATCTCTGGGCCGCAAATTCCTTACAAAAAAAAAAACACAAAACAAAACAAAAAAACAAACCTAAAACAAAAGAAAGAAAGAAAAAGAAAAAAAAGTTTTATTTATGTATTTATTTATTTGTTTTGTTTGGGAGGGGTTTTTTTAAGCCTATTTATTTGGGGAGTGTCATTTCTTGTCGGTGGCTCCAGCCAAGAGACATCTTAGTAAAATGTATCTGTTTAATATATTTTTTAAAAAATGCCTTTTTTGAGCAAAAGCGCAACCAAAACCAACTGAGATTAAAAAAAAAAAAAAAAAAAAAAAAAAAAACAAAACCCACTTATGGTCATCTCTGGCCCTGGCTTTTCCCTTGCTGTGCTGCAGGAGGGGATGGCGAGGAGGCTCCCGTGCATGTCCAGCTGCTGCATCCTCCCCGTACCTCCGCACCATCCTGCTCTCTGGATTTTAGCCGAGCCTCCTGAGGAGGGGAGATGCCACCGCATGGGCCAGCCATCTGTCTCCTGTTCATGTCTTCATTAACTCAGAGGGATGGGGCTCCGAGGTGGCCCATTAAGACCGTCAGAGGTGCCTGGAGGCAGGGATGGATCCTGTCCACACCTGGAGCCAGCAGCTCCTGCCTGCTCCCCCCAGCTGTCCCCTTTGCTCCCAACAAGGTGCCTGGAGCAGACACTCCCCGAGCTGGTGGGAAGGACCCACGTGGCACCAGCCACATCTCACGTCCAACCTCCTCCGGGTCCCATGTATCCACCCACTACACCTCAGGGTGAGCAGTGCTGTGGCTCGATGGCCCGCTGTGGCACATGCCACCTTTTTGGGCATGTCAAGCATTGCTCTTGGGAGCTTCACCTGATGTTGAACAGGTTGCCCAGAGAAGCTGTGGATGCCCCATCCCTGGAGGGGTTCAAGGCCAGGCTGGATGAGGCTTTGGGCACCCTGGGCTGGTGGGAGGTGTCCCTGCCCATGGCAGGGGGTTGGAACCAGATTATCTTTAAGGTCCCTTCCCACCCAAACCATTCTGTGATTCTGTGTTGATGACTCTTAGATCTGCTACGGGAAAAGATGTGTGTATCTGACCCCAAGCCACCCTTTGTGGACACTTACAATTGTATCAAGAGGCATGACAGTCATCTCTGTGCCCCAGCTCTATTGCTTGGCCCGTATACGTAGGTTGCTCCATACCGCTGGTATCTTCATTGACCTCCTCAAGGCTGCCTCACCCATCACCCCCTTAGAAAGGACCCCAAACCTGGCACAGCCCATCCTGGACACCTCCCTCTGCAACACCCAGAGGGATGGGGGGATCAAGGGGCAGCAGGTTTCCAGCACCTCCAGCAGCCCCATCACTGGGGAGCTGGTGGCATCTCCAGTGCCCACTCAGCTCAGAGCAAGGATCGAGGCGGTGGGGACAGGCGAGCTGACAGCTGAGGGTGGCTCCACTCCCTCCTTCCCCGGAGCTGCTGCTGCCGCCGCGCTCGGTGCCTGACCAGAATATCAAGCAGCAGTGCTGCCCAGCTGTCAGATGGAAACACCGGGTATCTGCACCAGCGGAGCTCACCGCTTCGGCGGCTGCCCTAATTTCTTGGCTAGAGAGAGGAAGGAGCCAACCCTCCAACCTGCAGCATCCCCAAAGCTAGGGGTGCAGGCAGAGGGGATGGGCAGGGTACAGAAAAAAGGAGAGAGGAGGGAAAAAATCATGTATCGGTGTGCAGATCTGAGTCTGCTTCCTAATCCTCCCCAGCTGGCAAAACTTCCCTGCTTGGATGCTGCAAAATCGGTGGGAACCCCAACTCATCCATCCTGCTTCTGTCACCCACCCATTCCCCCCTCTCCTCAATCCTCGGGTTGGACAGATAAAGAGATAAGCGGGAGGAAAATAACACCAGGAGAGATAAAGAGATAGGCGAGAGGAAAATAAAACAGGGGTAGATAAACTAGGCTTGCTATTTATATTCCCCATCTAATCTATCAATCCATCAGGCTGGCTGCTGTGGTTATAGCATCCCTCAATCTGTCACCTGGACTTCTCCATACATCTGTCTTCTCGTGCCCACGTCTTCTCCCTTGTCTCCCAGTCCTAAAGGGAAGAAGAAAAAAAAATAAAAATCAGGCAATTAAACATACCAGGAGGAAATGCGAAGTCAAAGCCATCATATCTTAGCTCTCTGGGGGAAGCCGGCAGACATCTGCCCGGGGATAAGGAGGGTACAGGCAGGAGGGCTGGCAATGCTGCCTGCTCCTGAGCTGGCAGGGCTGCCGGGAGGCTTCTCAGCTAGAAAGACCATTTTGGCTTCTGCCATACACCCTTCTGGGCTGGCATGTCCCTTCTTCTCCCCATTGTCACGTGGGCCATGTGTTGGGCTAACGCTAGCTCCATCCTCTGTTTCCCCCAGACAGAGCATTTCCTACCGTGCTTTCTCACGCCCTTAACCAGTCACACAGCCTAAAGCCACCTGAACATGAATGCAAGAGCCATCAGGACGTCTGGCAGCATCTCAAGGAGCCCAGACATAGTAGAGCAGCTTCCACCTGGCAGGGGGCTGACCCTGTGCTCCTCCGCTGCTGTGCTGGCTCCAGAGGCAGGAGGTGATGTGCTGAGAGTAATGGTCCCGCGTGTGGGGACAGAGGTGAATGAAGGCTGTTTGCTTTCGATGTTTATTCTGAAGAAAAAAAAAAAAAAAAAAAAAAAAAAAAAAAAAAAAAGGCAAAAAAAGGGGCAGGCAGGCAGCTGGAGGGATGCACCATCGACTCTTTGCGTCCTCGGCGGTTGCGCCCAGGCTGGCAGGCAGAGAAGCGCTGCAGCCTCCCCTCCCCACAGCCCCTCAGCAAGACTTCATGGCATATAGCCCAAAAGCACCAAATTTGGCCCAAATTGCTGATTCCCAGCAGGAACAAGACTGACATAGCACCTTCTTGGCCAACCAGCCCATCGGGCAACGCAGGGGCCAGCAGATGAGGAGCAGATGCTGAACACGTCCCTGGCCACCAGCCCCCCATACTGTGGGGCTACACCACCGCTTTAACCAAGGGGAGGAAAAGACGGGGGTGGCTCCCTAAATTTTGGGAGAACCATTTTTTTTCAGTCTGAGTGGGGGAGTAAATTTTTAGCGTGTCCCCCAGCCCTGGGAGGGGACTGCCAGGCTGCATGGGAATCTCAGGTGGGAGCAGCCAGGTCCTCCCATCCCTGCTCAGCAATTAAGGCACTCAATGGAGGTGATTAGGAAGAGGAGGTTAATAATGAGAGGTCAGCATTTGATCACCTTGCAGTGCTTTCCCCTGCAAAGAACAATGCCAACACCAGCGGAGCTGGCTGGAGAGCCGCTGCCACAAAGCCACCCTAAAACAAGAATTCAGTGTCAAAACCACCAGGTTTTAAAAACAGGGACTTTTGGGGTTATCCTCACCTGGGCTCTGGTTTGCAAGCCCCTGCATTCATACAATATTCTCTGCAGCATGAAAGTTAGAAAGCTGCCTCTTCACTAATGAGCTGAGCTCCTCACTCGCTTGATCGCAGCCACTCCGCTTCCCTCCTCTGGACACGATTATTTAGCAGCTCTGTCAGGAAAAAGGCAGCTGAGGAAAGGCAGGGCTGTTTCACCCCTAGCCCTGGCAGCAGGAGGGGATTATCCCCCCAGCATCCCTGCTCACGGCTCCCAGATGCGGGCTGGTCCCACCTCCATCTCCCAGCCCTGAGACAGCTGGTGACGGGCTGTGATGGCTACACCTGAACCCGACAGCTCACAGCTCCAGCTATCTAACCTACATTCTTTTTTCCGCTCCTGTGTTTTCAGCCCTTTCCCACAGCACCAGCTGAGGCTCCAGCCCCAAGTGCCACAAGGTGGTACCTTTGGCCTTATGGCCAAGAAGAGCATCTCTGCATCAGGGTGTGCCCAAAGAGCAAGGACAGGTTTGCCATAAATAGCCAGGACAGAGAGAGATCATGGGGCTAAATCCACATCCTTGTCCACATCCCTGCTCCAGCCTGCCTCACTTTCTCCCCTCACAGCCCCCAGCTGACGCTGTGTCAGCCTGGGAGAACACCCTGGGATGCACAGGTGGTAAAGCATCCCCAGGGGAGGAGGGAGGCTCAGGGGGCTCCAGGTAACACGCTTTGCTGGCAGATACTCTTTGTGTGCAAACTGCAAATTCACCCCCTGGTCTCTGCCCTCGTGGTTGGGGCTGCAGGACAAGAAGTGGAAATCAGACGTTTTGCTTGGTGGGAGACTTCAAGCGGAGCGTTTCGCTCAGGGCTCCTCTAGCTTCGTTAGCTGCATGTAACCACCAGGCAGCTGCCAACAGAGCTGGTTTGCTGCTTGACAGCGTTTCTGGGGGAGGCAGGTGATGGAAAGCTGCCTGCAGACCTCCCCACCCCAGCACGGGGCTGCTCCGGCTTCTCCCTTACAACACGGTTTTGCTGCGGGTAGCA